GCTATAGGGCAGTGAGATGTGGATCACATACAGCAAGCACCTCAAAGCACTTAAAACTTTCACCAACGTAGTCTACGTTCCATCCTCCTAGTTTGCTGGGAAGACAAGAGAACAAATGCCAGTATTCTTGCTGATACCAACTGTAGGAGCATCGAGGCTACAATTATCCATTAACAGCTATGCTGGACTGGCCATATTACCCGCATGGACGACAGTAGACTGCCAAAGCAGCTACTTTCACTTAACGAATAGTAAAGGTAACGCCGGCGGGCAATTGAAAAGGTATAAGGATAGTCTTAAGACAAACCTGAAAAAGTGCCAAATCGACCCCCTCACCTGGAGTCGATTACTCCACATCGTAACGCTTGAAGGAGCACCACACAAGAAGCTGTCAATACTTTCGAGGTAGCCCGACTGCAAACCGAGGCAGGCAAGCGCCAACGCCGGAAAGACGCTGCCACCGCTCCTCCTGCACTAGATGTATCCCTGCACATGTGCAACGAATGTGGACGACCCTGCGGGTCCCGTATCAGCCTCTTTAGTCACCTTAAAACTCACCAACCTAGGTGACATCTCTAATAACTCATATCATTATATCATAGCTGGGTGATCGTCATACTCGATTCCGAGTGACAGCAAAGTAGTAGTAGTAGTAGTAGCGTGTATGTATGTGTGTGTGTGTAATAATAATAATAATAATAAAAATAATAATAATAATAATAACAATATAATAATTAACGGTTTATTGAAAGAGTTGAGCAGTCAAAAAGCTGAAAATATCCATTGTACAGAGTTGACTTATAACATACAAAGATATGGGATGGATGGATCGTTTAACAAAAGCTTTCATTACTAAAAGGACAAGGAACATGAATTGAACATACAAATTATAGTTTACAGTTGATGGCAGGAGTTGTGTGTGTGTTGTGTGTAAAATAGCTACACATTATCCATTTCTCAGAATATACAATTATCGTTTTACTTTCAATAAGCAGATCAATTACTGGTAACAAGAGCCACACCATAAAATTATAAGCAGAAAATCCTGTGTGCTACTTTTAAGAAAACAAGTTCCATCTCGTGACTGTATCATTCTCAACCATAAGGCTACAGTAATACAGTTTAAAACTTAATTGACCATAATGCTGTAAGCTGAAGATTCAATGATCAACATAGTGCAGAAAATTTGTCATGTAGTTGGGATCAGTCTGCCTCAGAAGACGAGTCATGTCAACCTGCACGTGATACTTTCAGTGGTAATGAATACCAAGTGAAGACTCCCTTGCTGTGCACAATACGACATACTGAAAGATGTGATTATCTATATTTGTCGTCGACACCTGCCTGGTGATTATTCATTGCAGAAAGATAATGAAGAGATAAACTTTAATTAATCTATAACATATTTTTATATGCATTTCGTCATGTAAATTGGCTAACAACACCGACTTGTAAACTATTAACAAAAGTCTTGGAATAAAGGCACCAGACCCTCATTTTTCATTACCAGGTGAGAGGAATAAAACTAACTTTGATTTTGAGGGACAGGGCGTGGTGGTGTTATTCTGTATTACAGTAAAACCCATTATCTTAAATAATTCCTGACGTGATGACGAAACATAAATTTTTTTATTGTGCGCCAAGTTGCCTCATAATGATAATACACCTTCGACGTACAGTACATGATGTAAAGCGGCGACCTTCCTTTCATCCTCACAGTGATGGAGCCTCTAGCCAGCGGTCACGAGACGGTACCTTTGGGCGAGGATGACGAAGCTGACATGAAGAAGTATTTTGCTCCCTTTCCTGGTGGTACAATTCGCTTAAATCCCGGCAGTTGGGTCTTTCCGGCAGCTTTTCTTAAGTATGCAGACAAGATATACAACTTTCAGGTGAGCACAGCAAAGTTGACGTAAGTAATTCACGTCAGAGTATAAACACTGTACGTGAATTTAGTGGCGTCCTTCTCTTAACCTGGAGCTGAACCAAAACACACAAATATAACATAACACACGGACGATTAACCCAAGAAGATAATAAATAAACCTCTTTCTTGTACTTGAGAAAACTTTACATTGCGGTTTATTGAAGATAAATAAATAACTAAGATTTGGTTAATGGTGAAACATGATAAACGAAACAAAGGATACGTGATAAAAATAATAATCAGTAAATATAGTAAACGAAAATTAATTGAAGAGACATGAGAAATAAGAGAGATGCGTCAGATAGAGGGAAGTAAACAAAACATGAGACAAGGCAAATTAAAAACCACAAGTCACAAAACTACACCAATATGACAGAACATAGATATACTAAAGACTTGATCGGATAAACATTAAACATTACAAACAGAAGTTTCATGTGATACAACAAACAGAAAACAGTAAGTATGTGATTCATCAACTGTTACTCAGAAAACGTGAAATTACTGACAACAATACAGTCCATTGACCGACAATAACTTTATTCCCTATTCACTATCATGGCTTCCATTTTTATTTTTTTTATTTTGTAACTAAAAATCATGTGATTATTTATTTATTTATTTATTATAACGTAATTTAACCTAACCGAGCCAAACTTAACCTAACGAAACCTTGTGAAAGTAATGGCATTAATTATCAAGTAATCGATTTACGAGCGCATTACTTTACACACACACACACACACACACACATATATATATATATATATATATATATATATATATATATATATATATATATATATATATATATATATATATATATATATATATATATATATATATATTTCATGTAGATCCACAATGAAAACGTGGATAAGATAAATCTTGACAAAATCACACAGGGAGCACCTTTGCTTTCGTCTTTATTCAAGACATCTTCAGAGGCAACTGAATTACATAGACGGAGAGAGGCTTAAATACACAGGGTGACCTTATTAAACATGAGGTCAGGTCATAATCATGACATCCACTCATCTGCACACCAACATAACATAAGAACATAAGAAAGTGGGATACTGCAGGAGGCCGACTGGCCCATACAGGGCAGATCCCTTTCACACCCATCCCAGCACTTCCATGTGCCAATCCAACTTCGTCTTGAAGCTCCCTAGCGTCCCCGATCCTACTATAGCACTCGGTAGCCTATTCCACATATCCACAACTCTATTACCAAACCAGTGCTTGCCTATATCCTTTCTGAATCGGAATTTATCTAATTTAAAGCCATTTGTTCTAGTTATTTCGTTATTACTGAGCTTCAGAACATCTTCCATTTTACCCTTGTTAATCCCACTTACCCACTTGAACACCTCTATCATATCTCCCCTAACTCTACGCCTCTCTAATGAATGCAAGCCTAAGCTTTTCAGTCTTTCTTCATATGGAAGGTTTCTAATATTATGGATCATTTTGTCATTCTTCTTTGTACTCTCTCCAAAGAATCTATGTCCATTCTATAATAAGGACACCAGAATTGAACCGCATAATCCATGTGTGGCCTCACTAATGCTAGGTAAAGTTTCAAGATAACGTCAGTAGTTCTGTTACTCACACTCCTAGACATGAACCCAAGAATCCTGTTTGCCTTGTTGCGAACGCTAATACATTGTTTTCTAGGTTTCAAGTCGTTGCTAGCAAATACACCTAGATCTTTTTCACAATCTGAGTTTTCTATTTCCGTGTTACCTAGTTTATACTTAACGTTTGTATTCGTCTTCCTATCTGTAGTACCTTGCATTTATCAGTATTAAAATTCATTTGCCAGTCTACTGACCACTCATGTAAGGTATCTAGATCTCTTTGAAGGTGTTCAAAGTCACTGTCTGAATTTATCACTCTCCCCATTTTGGTATCATCTGCAAATTTACTAATCCTACTATTTATACCTAAATCAAGATCATTAATGAATATAACAAACAGCAGAGGGCCTAATACAGATCCCTGGGGAACTCCGCTTTTGACCGCACCCCAGTCTGACTTAAATCCATTTATGCTGACTCTTTGTTTCCTACCAGTTAACCATGACCTAATCCATTTTAATAATGATCCACCTATTCCATGTGCTTCTACCTTCCTTATCAATCTCTCATGAGGGACTCTATCGAATGCTTTACTGAAATCTAAATAAATTATATCATATGACTTATCATTATCTACCGCTTCATATACTTCTGAGAAAAAGCTAAGCAAATTTGTGAGACAAGAACGTCCCTGGGTGAACCCGTGCTGAGAAGAATGAATTAAGTTGAATGTTTCAAGGTGGCTTCTGATTTTCGTAGCAATAATTGACTCGAGCAACTTGCCTATGATTGACGTGAGACTAATGGGACGGTAATTTGATGCAATTGATTTATCACCTTTTTTGAAAATCGGAACTACATTTGCAAGTTCCAAGCTTCTGGCACTAGGCCCGATTCTAATGACTTATTAAATAAAACTGATAATGGATTACTCAACTCATCTCTACATTCTTTTAATATTCTAGCATATACCTCGTCAAGAGAAAGGGCGATGTGACTAGTCAAGTTAAGTCAGGTAAAAAATATGGGACCCACTAATCATCTATCCTACATCTAACTCCAATGCTTTAAAAGCATTTTTAACCTTGGGCCACTAGCAAATAAATTTATGTAACATATTATCAGTTTTGTACTGCCCATCACTAAAGGTACCAGAACTGACCCGCATAATAGAGGTGTGGCCTGACTAGCGCAAGATATAGTTGCAATAAGACCTCTGCACTCTTATTACTAGCTTCAACCAGAAGTATTTCTGTGACACTTCTAAGCTGTTCTCCCAATCAATGGGATGATTATTATTCCTAACATGAACGAACAGTTCACTGCTTTCAGATGCTGTTCTGATATTGTATTTGTGCTGTTTGATTCTGAGTTGCAATGCCTTCCCAGTCTGTCCTACATAATTTCCATTACAGTTGCTACATGGAATACAATAAACACTTCCATTCACATTCAAAGTTGGGCAATTCTTGATTAATATATTGGTAATGGTTGAGTCATACTTAAAAACAACATTAATATTTAATAATTTAAGGGACTGAACTAACGGGACAAATTCATTGCAATAATGCAGAGACAAAATATTCTTAAGTGTAGGAATTTGCCTGGTTTGAGTAGAATGAAAGGATTTATTAGACTTTTTAAAACAAGGTGCTCCATTGTTTCCCTTTTTCCCTGTGTGATTTTATCAATACATACATACATACATACATACATACATACATACACACACACACACACATATATATATATATATATATATATATATATATATATATATATATATATATATATATATATATATATATATATATATATATATATATATATATATATATATATATATATATATATATATCATATACATGTGTGTGTGTGTGTTACAGTAAAAGTAACGACACGTATACTAACTGTTCCTTCACAGTGGCGAGCCAGCGACGTGGTGGTAATAACGTTACCCAAGTGCGGTACAACGTGGATGCAGGAGATTGTATGGACTATGAGGAACAACCCAGACTTGCTCAACCCCACGGCTACTCTACCAATAATGACCCGAGTGCCTTTCATTGAGTAAGAAACACTGTTGACTTACGTGAGAGTAAATGACTAATCGTCCTCTTTCATTTACATCACAGTATCTTATGCACACCCAATGTCAATATTACTTTATCACCTAACATTCCTTCTTCGCTGCCCACAACTAGTACCGTATAGCGCTGCTAGTACCGTATAGTGAATGCTAGTACCATATAGTGCTGCCAGTACCATATAATGCTGCTAGTACCGTATAGTGCTCTTAGTACTGTATTGTGCTGGTAATACCGTATAGTAACTGCTAGTACCGTATAGTGCTCTTAGTACTGTATTGTACTGGTAATACCGTATAGTAACTGCTAGTACCGTATAGTGCTGCCAGTACTTAGACTTTAGCAAAGCGTCTGACAGAGTACCGCATCAGAGGCTTCTGAGAAAAGTTAAGGCTCATGGTATCGAGGGGAAAGTTTTGAATTGGATAAAATCATGGCTCACCGATAGAACACAGAGGGTCAGCGTAGATGGTGTTAAATCTGAGTGGGGTTGTGTAACCAGTGGGGTTCCCCAGGCGTCAGTACTGGGCCCACTCTTGTTCATAATCTACATAAACGATCTAGATACTGGGATCAGCAGTGACACCAAAATAAGGCGGCAGATTAATTCAGGACAGGATGCAAATGCACTACAGGAGGATTTAAATAAATTGCAGGAGTGGTCAGAAAAATGGCAAATGAAATTCAACACCAGCAAGTGCAGCGTACTGAATATTGGAAAAACAAATACTGTCAATATATACAGCCTTAACAACATGAACCTAGAGAAGTCGACTTGTGAAAGAAACTTAGGGGTACTTGTAAGCCCGGAACTACGGCCTAGAAAACAGTTCGTTAATGTTCGAAATAAGGCAAACAGAGTATTAGGTTTTATATCTAGAAGTGTAAGTAATAAGAGTGCAGAGGTCTTATTGCAACTATATCTTGCGCTAGTCAGGCCGCACCTCGATTATGCGGTTCAGTTCTGTTGCCCTTATTATTGAATGGATATCAATTCACTGGAGTCGGTGCAGCGAAGAATGACGAAAATGATTCATAAGAACATAAGAACATAAGAAAATAAGGAGTCTGCAATAGGCCGGTTGGCCTGTGCATGGCAGCTCCTGTCGAGAGTTACTACCACTCTCTATCATCCATGAATCTATCTAGCCTCCTTTTAAAAGTTTCCAGCGTTCCAGCACTTACTATAAAGTTGCTAAGCTTGTTCCACTCGTCCACCACCCTATTTGTGAACCAGTTCATTCCTATCTCCCTCCTAAACCTAAACTTATCCAACTTAAATCCGTTGCTACGAGTCCTATCCTGCTCGGATATTGTAAGAACTTTATCTATATCCTCTTTATTAATTCCTTTCACCCACTTAAATACTTCTATCATATCTTCTAGCACTCTTCCTCTTTCTAGGGAATGCAAGTTTAGTTTCTTTAACCTATCTTGATATGGAATGTTTCTATGTACCGGAATCATTTTCGTCATTCTACGATGCACCGATTCCAGTGAATTGATATCCATTCTATAATAAGGGCACCAGAACTGAACCACATAATCGAGGTGCGGCCTGACTAGCGCAAGATATAGTTGCAATAAGACCTCTGCACTCTTATTACTTACACTTCTATATATAAAACCTAATACTCTGTTTGCCTTATTTCGAACATTAACGCACTGTTTTCTAGGCCGTAGGTCCGGCTTACAAGTACCCCTAAGTCTCTTTCGCAAGTCGACCTTCCATATCAAGATAGGTAAAAGAAACTAAACTTGTAGTCCCTAGAAAGACGAAGAGTGAGGGGAGATACGATTAAAGTATTTAAGTGGGTGAAAGGAATGAATAAAGGATATAGATAAAGTTCTTATAAAATCCGAGCAGGATAGGACTCGTAGCAACGGATTTAAGTTGGATAAGTTTAGGTTTAGGAGGGAGATAGGAAGGAACTGGTTCACAAATAAGGTGGTGGATGAGTGGAACAAGCTTAGCAACTTTGTAGTAAGTGCTGAAACGCTGGAAAGTTTTAAAAGGAGGCTAGATAGATTCATGGATGATGGAGAGTGGTAGTAACTCTCGACAGGAGCTGCCATGCACAGGCCAACGGGCCTATTGCAGACTCCTTATTTTCTTATGTTCTTATGTACCATATATTGTAATGCTGCTAGTACCGTTTAGTGCTGCTAGTACCGTATTGTGCTGCTAGTACCGTATAGTGACTGCTAGTACCATATAATGCTGCCAGTACCATATAATGCTGGTAGTACCGTATAGTGCTGCTAGTACCGTATAGGGCTGCTAGTACCGTATAGTGCTGCTAGTATCGTATAGTGCTGCTAGTACCATATAGAGCTGCTAGTACCGTATAATGCTGCTAGTACCATATAGTGCTGGTAATATAATATAATACTGCTAGTACTGTAGAATTCTGCCAGTACCGTATAATGCTGGCATTACCGTATAATGCTGCTAGTTCCGTATAGTGCTGCTAGTTCCGTATAGTGCTGCTAGTACCGTATAGTACAGCTAGTACCGTATAATGCTGCTATCACTACATTATGCTGCTAGTACTGTGTAAAGCTGCTAGTACCATGTAATGCTGCTAGTGCTGTATAATGCTGCTAGTACCGTATAATGCTTCTATTACTGCATTATGATGCTAGTACTGTATAATGCTGTTAGTACTGTATAATACTGCTAGTACCGTATAATACTGCTAGTACCATATACTGCTGCTATGACTGCATTATACTGCTAGTACTGTATAATGCTGCTACTATTGTATAATGCTGCTAGTATTGTATAATGCTGCTAGTATTGTATAATGCTGCTGGTACTGTATAATGCTACTAGTACCATATAATGCTGCTAGTACTATATAATGCTACTAGTACTGTATAATACTGCAAGTACCATATAATGCTGTCAATACCATATAATGCTGCTAGTACTGTATAATTCTGCTAGTACCATATAATTCTGCTAGTCCCATATATATATATATATATATATATATATATATATATATATATATATATATATATATATATATATATATATATATATATATCTTGATAAAATCACACGGGAAAATGGAAACAACGTGTGATTTTATCAAGATTTATCTTATCCACGTTTTCATTGTGGATTTACATGAAATATATATATATATATATATATATATATATATATATATATATATATATATATATATATATATATATATATATATATATATATATATATTACGGGGAATAGCCACCTTGGCACAATATTATCGACCCACAACGGGGCCGGGGGGAAAGGCGAAAAAATAAGAGTAAAAAGAAACTAAAAACTGAAGAGAAAAGACTATATTAATCTACACTACGAAGATGCCGGAAAACCGTTTTTTTAAGTTAGACATTGTACGAGTATGGAAACACTGTAGGCCTAATATTCCACAATTTGGCTGTGAGGATAGAAAGATGCACTATAACGGGTTATTCTCGTGTAACTGACATCCACACAGAAACGGTGGGCACCTCGGGCAAGACCAGTGTTACTAGCCCACTGCCTTGCCGGCGGTACACACGATGCCAAATATACCGAACATTGCCCGTTAAAGTACCCGTAAAAGAGAGAGTGAAGCAACATTGCGGCGAAGAGAAAGGGAAGAGAGATTATCAACTAAAGGAAGAGAGTTAACAAGACGGAAAGCCTTTGATTCCACCCTATCTAACAGTTGGACAGAAGAAGAGCCACCCCAGATATGAGAGCAGTACTCCAAGTAAGGACGAATGAATCCCTTATAAACTTGAAGCAACTACTCAGGAGTGAAGTAGCAACAGCATCTGTACAGCGTTCCTAACTTTCGGGAGGCAATTTTAGCAATGTTGTGAATGTATGGTTTCCATGACATACGAGTATTAGAGGTATAGGTGAGGCCTAGCATGTCTATTTTAGAATTTGGCAGAATGATTGCGTCCTGAAATGTGATTGGTGGGAGATCTTCTGTTTTGTAAATTGTAATTTGTGAATACTGTGTTTTATTACGATTGAATTTAAGCAAATTTCGACCTCTCCATTCGGAAATGCTGCATAGATCCTTATTGATAGATGAAACGATATCAGCAATAGAAACAGATATAGTTTGAGAATTAGGGGAGAGGGAAAATGGGAAGAAGTGTGAATTGACAAAATTAGTAGTAGTGTGAAGTAAATCATTGATAAAAAGAAGGAAGAGAGTAGATAAAAGAACATAACCCTATGGAACACCACTACTGGTAGAGAAAGAGCGAGAGATCGATTCCTCGACAACAACTGCCATGGATCGATTCTCAAGGAAGCTAGAGATTAGAGAACAAAGTGGGGAGAGAAACCATAAGATGGAAGTTTAGAAAGCAACGACTTGCGCCATACCCTATCAAATGCTTTGGAGATGTCGAGGTGCCACGTCAAAAGTTTGCTCATAATCCCTGAGGATGACCGAAGATGGGTGCAGTAGGAGAGCAGATCACCAGTAGATCTCGCTGCTTACCATTATACATAGCAAGATGAGTATAACATGACAGACTAATAGCGAAGCCTCTAAGGGTTCATAACTTGTGTGTTCGTGCGCGTGTTGCCCCGTGATAGTTAGTGTGGCCGCCGTTCAGAAAGGACCCGGTCCTCAACTCCGGCCCGACCTGGGTGGGGTAGAAATTGTGGTTTCCGAGTGTACCTTATAATGCTGTTAATGCCGTATAATGTTAGTACTGTATAATGCTTGTACCATATAATGCTGCTAGTGCCCTATCATGCTGCTAGTACCATATAATGCTGCCAGTACCATATAATGCTGCTAGAACCATATAATACTATATGCTGGCTTCTAAGTAAAGACAATGACATGCATCGGGTGGTAAAGTTAACTAACAATTTTAGAGAACGTTCAATCCAGCCAAAAAGTTTATGAGTTGTAAAAATAATGAACATAAAGAAAGTGGAGGTATGGTATTCCTCAGCTGTGGGACAGGGCACTGTTTTCTATCCTATTATGTCTGTCTGTACATCTGTCCCCCCAAAATAACCCATGAACGGTTATGCGGATCTGCACCAAACTTGTTTTGTTTAATCAACAGGTGACTAGGACACATGATAAGCGTTTGGTGCACATAGCGCCAAAGTTTACCAAGTGATAAGGGTTTGCGCAATGACTTTCAGTAAGAGTGCTACTGTTTCAATATTTACCTTGCCATGGTAACTGTTCGTAGACAGTATCTTAAACTTGGGTTCATCCCACAGTCTCGACATGTTCAGACCAAAGGAGAACTCCCAGTCGAGTCCTGGAAGCAACTCAGTAGAAGGCATCAACCACCAACTGGCCGTCGCTACGCCCGACCCCAGGACTATCAAGACACATATTCCTCTGTCGCTACTTCACCCAACACTCCTCAACACTTGTAAGGTAACCATAAATAATTTTATTTCATCACGTGTTTGGTCTTTAAACTATATGTGTGCTCCCACGCGCGTGTAAGACCTTACCTTTTGATCATATCTCGGCCAAACATACAATGATTACTATCATTAACCAACCCGTACGTTGCCAGGTGGTGTACGTGGCCAGGAACCCCCTGGACGTGGTCGTGTCCTTATTGCATCATTTTCGTCTGATTAAAACCTTCAACTTCCGTGGCAGCTTAGACAATATTATTGACTTTTTTGTCAGTGACAAATGTGAGGCAAGACTTATCCATGTGTTGGAATACAAACAACTATTTTTTCAAGTATTGATAACAGTTCGTTTTGTAATATGATACAACATGTAGGTGTGATTGCGACTAATTTTGAAGGTAAAGCATGAAATAACATTAAATGTATGCAGTAATTCACGAAAATTATCCTTACATGACTAGTACTAACCTTGATAATAATGTTTCACTATTCCCAGTAAGGTACCTGCCCTTCTGGCGGCACGTCAACGAGGCCTGGCAGAAGCGTCACCACCCTAACTTTCACTTCGTCTTCTACGAGGACCTCAAGGCCGACATTATGGCCGAGCTGGAAAAGCTGAACGAGTTTTTGAGCACAAACCTCAGCCAGGAGCAACTCCTTAATGTATGATGCTGTGTGCTCAGAGGACATGTAAACGAGATATATTTGTTTCACTATATTAACTATTTAATATCAAAATACGTGAGTAATGTAACAAGAATAACGAACAATGGTAGTGGGTTGTAATCAATATAGAAAACCTTCCTTCACACTCAGGTAGCTAACTACACCGAGTTTAATGAGATGGCAGGCCGGGACAACTTGATGGGGCCCAAAGCAGAAGATAATCCCCGGTACTCACAGGAGGTGGTGAGGCAGGAGGGCGGCTTCTTCAGGAAAGGTAGATAGTACTTAACTTCTGTTAAGGATAGTCTTGTTTTCTTTACTCGTCTCACTAAAACTAGAGATAACTGACATCCGCTACTGAATTATTAATGATATTGCCAGTGATAGTTCAGGACTCTTCGTGGAAACATGTCGTAACATGTGATCAAGAGACTGATAAACATTGCAGAATTAAAAATTTGACCAAAAGTTTGTTGGTACAGAGTTTAAGGATGACAACTCTTAGGTACACCTAACAAATAATACACATGATGGTGGAATTTCTTTAGTCAACAACATCTGTTTTCTCGAAAAATAAACAAGTTTAAAATATGAATCTATTATAATTTAAAAATCTTATTTTCAGTATTCACAAATTCTTATTGAGGTGAATGATTAATAGTGTTGATTCCTGTGCCAGGTGAGGTTGGTAACTGGAAGGAGAAGTTGAACCCAAAACAGGTAGACAAGATCGACAAGTGGACGAAGAAGAACATGAGAGAGATTCCATTCAAGTACATTTTGTAAACAACTCTTCAACTAGATATTGGTCTCCTCCGCAACAGCTGTCACAAGTATTGGCAGAACTACACCTGGAGAACAGTCACATAACACTCATATGCGAGACTATTTTCCAATGCACTGGAGAAATAGAATCCAAGAGAAAATAAACACTTAGAGAAGCGACAAGATAAAATTCCTCAAGCATTTATTGTCTACATCGTTCTGTGTCATGCCAATTTTGTATTTGTTTTGATGTAAAAATATTCAGAAGATAAACTGTTCTTGCTGAAGCTGATACTCTTGATGATACCAGTCTGCAAAATAACAGTATTGATAATGTCACTATGGATATTGTCACTATGAACAATGTGACTGGATAATGACAGTATGGATAAAGACAGTGTTGCATGCATAATAGGGTGTGTCATACGGAGGCGAATTTTTTTTTTTTGAGTTTGAAAAATCGGCCCATGGTATTAATGATGTAGTTCTATGTGCAGAATCATGTGATATCTTCAGATTT